GTAAAGACATTGTGCACTGCATAGCAAATAACAACTAGGCCCAAAAGAGGCAAAGCCTCTCCTACACACACAGACTCAAGCAGTCAGAGAAAAAGAGGGTCACAGGGACAGGAGGTGACTGAGTCACTATAAGCTGGCAGAAGAAACAGACCTAGACCAAATGAGCCATAGAGTACTGGAAAAGTACGAGCTGCAACAGAACTGTGGTTCTTCCAGTTTGAAAAAGCATGTGAAAAGCAATGAGGAGTGCGTATGTGGTTCCCTCATCCTTAACCATCACCATACTAAACTGGTGATGGCAGGAAAATTATACAAAATGCACAACTGAGTCAACTGGGAGATAACTTCCAGTGTTTCAAGTCTGCCCAGGTGTACATACTATAAGAGTTTTTAGAGACTAGGCACTCCAAAAGTTGTTCATTAGCTCTGAACCGGATAAAAGTGTTTGTAGCTGACACAGCACACCAAATGTTTTTGCACTGTTGTCAACAAAGCCAAGTGCTTAAAGTCCAGGCAAACCCTGATGTCTGATAGCACCGAGGGCTATGAATATGGCTGTGAAATGCCAGCACAATTCAGACCTGAAGGTCCTATTCAGTAAATGGGTTTGGAGTAAATGGGACACAGTAGGAGCTGTGTCACAGCTCTAGAGTAGGAGAACTCCCTGCAACTGTCTACCACAGTACACAGAGGTCAGGAAAGTGCTGGAATTCAGAACACAGATCATGTACCAGACTAACCCACAAAAAGCTAGTTCAGTGGGGAGTAGGTAGGGCTTCCGAAACGATGTGGAGGAAATACCCGTATGCTATAGCCTGAAGGCTTTTCTCATAAAGTGTGTTTTCAGTGTCCGGCTCACACTAGTAGTTGTGCCACAGTACGCAAGGTCCGGTAAGTGCTACAGTGCAGAGCCCAGTACCCAAAGTTGACATACCTAGTTATCTTCGTCACATCCAAAGACTTACTCACAAAGTGAGTCTTCAGAGACTGGGTCACACCAGAGACCCAGAGGCTGTGCCGCAGCTCTGGACCTGGGAAGCACTCTGTGGCTAACACACTAAACAAAGGTTTACAAATAAGCAGAACCAGTGCCTAAGGGTCACATTCAAGGCTTGCCTCACAATCCTCAATCCAGCAGGGTCCAGGTATGGGTCGAAAGCTATTTCTGAGGATACACCCATACAGATAGCTGCAGTGAAAAGACTAGCTAAAGCAGTACATTAGTGGGCTTGGTGGAAGTTACTGAATAAAAAGAACCACAAGGTAACAAATATCTTGACTGAAGAGAAAGATGTGTAGAAAAAATTACAATTAAGGTTTTCCACATCAGAACTGAGGAAAAGGCATCCAACCTTTGAAGACACTAACGAAACACTGAGGCATGATGGTTGGAGGTAGGTTTATACGGGGGCTGGCATAACCTTTTTTTGTTTTGCCAGTGTTCAGACCTGCAGGTGGGAGTACAATCCATGTCAAAGACAATCTACGTTTCTGTGTCCCTCAGTGGATGATAAATAAATATTTTATATAAACAAATGTAGCACCCTCCATGTGAGCTAGGGGGAGCAAAACTCTCAATTGTTAGACAGAGGCTGAGTAGCAGCCTATGCAATAGGCAGAGGGAGGTCAAATTTTGGTCAGGACTGAAAGGCTCTGCAGACCAGCTCTCTGAGACTTCCTCCTGCTCTGGAACTTTGGAGAAAGTTCTAGAAACAGTGAGCGGAGGTAAGGAGTGGCTGATTGGCACTTTTGAGGGATCCTGGCTAATCCTCAACAGGAGGCTTGGCATGGGGCCAGGACAGCCCTTAAAATTGGCAAAGCCTGCTCAGCAGCAGGAGAGTTTGGGTGGAAGATGGAGAAGTGAGGCTGGAGAGAAGGGGCCTGGGAGAGGTCCCAGATGGAGAGGTGCTCACTTACAGGCAGAGGGCCTTGGTGGGAGGAAAGTTCAGGACTTCACCGGCCCCCAGAGTAAGGACTACCTGTGCAGCAGGGAAAGAGTGGCCCAGCTAGAAGGCCTGGTAGCAGCCACTAACCCACCAGCAACACAGGAGAAGAACCGAGGGAGTAAACCTGCACCCCCTGGGCCAGCAAGGGAAAAGAGGCACTCTAATGGCAAACTGGATTCCCTTTATTACCCGGGACTGTTTCACACTGTAGTGGCAGTCACTGTGTCCTCTGCCCAGGGATTCACCTAGTATAGCTGGATGAGGAGAGGATTCATCTAGGGTCTAGGGTGGTACTACAGAAGATGCTGGCTAGCTCTCAAAAAGAAGAATCTTTGCTGTAAAGACTTGTACATTGTTCAGGAAGACTGTCCTCTGTTGCCATTCCCTTGGGCATCCCAAATACCCCTTACCCGATCCAAGTTAAATCCCCTAATAAAATCCAAAAAACAAACTCTAGAACTGGTTACTGTCTCCCGGATGCAAATCTGTGTGGAAAATACATGTTGCCTGGCTGTGCAGGACTATAGGGGGACCCAAAACCTCAGCGACTCCTTAAGGGGGGTAGAGGTACGCATATATGATATTTGTTTCAAAATGTGCACACAGCTAAAAAAAAAAAAAAAAAAAAAGATAAAAGAATTCAAATTCATTCTAGTATTATTTTATGGTGTATGTAAACCCTTTTAGTCTGTTGTGTTTTGGTATATGTTTGAAAAGAGTGAAAAAACACTGTTGATCATACCAGAAATATTGTCAGCTGATAATTTCCTGTGCTCTCTGCATTTATTGCATGAAGGTAAAAAACCTTCAGTGTGCAGCTGCCCCCCGCAGCCCCCAATCCAGCAATCCAGCAAAGTGCACGAGAGCAGCAGCTCTCGTGGGACTCACTCTCCTCATTGGCTGGGATACAACAGTGGGAACCATTGTCTCCTGCTGTTGTCTATCACAGCCAGTGAAGATGGAGTGGGGGTGGGACACCCCCACTCCATCATTTATAGGACACATATCCAGGGAAAATCGGCTCAGGAAGGAATGTTTTCCCTGCAGCACACGCACGAGTACCTTCAGAGCAAGAAGCTGGCTGCTATGGGGGCACTTGGCAAGGAGGAGGGGCTAGGAGTGCCAGTGGAGGACCCAAGAGGGGGAGGATTGGGGACTGCAATGTGCAAACGCAGGTAAGTATGGTGTGTTTTTATTATTTTAAAGAAAAAAATCGAGCTTTTGGAACCATATGGAATATGCAGTTCAGTTTTGGGCACCAATTCACAAAAAGAACATTGCGGAACTGGAGAAAGTACAGAGAAGGGCAACCAAATTGATAAGAGACATGGAGGAGCTCAGCTATGAGGAAAGATTAGAGGAACTGAATTTATTCTCTCTTGAAAAGAGGAGATTAAGGGGGGATATGATCAACATGTATAAATACATCAGTGGTTCATATAGTGAACTTGGTGTAGAGCTATTCACCCTGAGGTCATCACAGAGGACAAAGGGGCACTCTTTACGTCTGGAGGAAAAGAGATTTAATCTCCAAACACGGAAAGGTTTCTTCACAGTGAGAGCTGTGAAAATGTGGAATAGACTCCCTCAAGAGTTGGTTCTGGCCAGCTCAGTGGTTTTCTTTAAAAAAGGCCTTTCCTAGATACACAGACTATAACTGGAAACTAACATTTATAGGTAAAGTTGATCCATGGAAAATCCGATTGCCTCTCTGGGGATCAGGAAGGAATGTTTTCCCTGCAGGAGCAAATTGGTTCATGCTTTGCTGGGTTTTTTTTGCCTTCCTCTGGATCAGCTGTGGGCGTAGGATTATAACTTTTTTTTTAAATGGTTGAACTGGATGGACTTTTGTCTTTTTTCATCCAGTCTAACTATATAACTATGTATTTAACCACTTTAAGAACTATCTTCAGCGTAAAGAAGAACAAGGAGTCCTGGAAGTGATGGTTTCACCCACACAAAGCCCTGATCTCAACATCATTGAGCCTGTCTGGTGTTTACACAAAGAGACAGAAGTATTTGAGGCAGCCTACGTCCACAACCACATCTATAAACCTCTTCCAGTCTTCTTGCTATACAGTATATCTTGCTCACATGTGTACTGATTTTTTAATTGAGAAAGGATGGGGATGCAAGAAAACTGTCTGTATGTAAAATTACTATGTGTGAAAAAAATATTTTCATTTTTGTAAACATGAAATAGAAATGCACATGCTTGATTACATTCATTTATTTGCAGTAGTATTCTCTCTCTAATGCTTCTCTTGCTCAGTGTCATGCTTTTGTTTGGCGTTGTCTTTGTATGTACACTGACAATATTATCTTTTCCGTTTTTCCGAGTCTCCAGGCTCTGTGTTCCACGTTGATAGATTTCCCGTGTCCTGTCATGGCTGCTCCAGGTGTACATGAGAGCGATGGTACAGGGATCCAACATGAGGTACCACTTTCACTTTCCTCTCAACAATCTACAAAGAACAATGTTTGTCGACCTGTTTGTGTCTCTTACCTTTTGTATGTGTGCCTTTGTTACCAGAATGCTCTATATGTGACTATAGCACCTGGGCCATAGCCCAAGGAGGATTTTCAGTTATATATACAAATAAGAATGTATTTCATAAAGCCAGTGTCTGTTGAGCCAATTTTTTTCTAGTTTTGGATAATGCAATATATAATTAGAGCTCTTTCTGTTCTGCTTTTTCTGTTTTCTGGAGCTTGATTACAAAGATTTACCCTCACTCACTGTCATTCTGACAACAGTTTCACCAGACAGGAAGTAAGGGAAATTTGCAACAGGGACAAAGGCAGGAATAAAAAGTTGACAGGAGTCCTAGTCTTCTCCTACTCTACTAAAGAAAAGCATATTTCTGCCTGTGTTGCTGTTGGAATAGTCCTCTCACTTCCTGTATAGTAAAAGATTAGCAGGACAGGAAGTATGGGCAAATCTCTCTAACGTCTCATTCACACGTGAGGTTTGGGGGCAGCAGGGGCGGACCGACAACTCATGGGGCCCCCGGGCAATAGGGGATCATGGGGTCCCTGTGTCCTTGCCCAAACTGAAAAAAGCCTATGAAAAAGGTACCAGGTAGCCAGGGGTGTACACATGTCACAATGCTTTGTTTCACAGCCGCAACAAGAATTATACCCCTTGTCCGTTTCACCAGGCGTAGCGCCCACTGAATCAATAGTATGAACAAGCCCTAATGTTGCCTCAGATAGCCTTTCCTCAATCTATCCAAAACTAAAAAAGCAGTTTCTGCTTCACGTATTCTTTAACCGCTTCCTTGCTGCCCTATAGCAGAAATACTGCTACAGGGCGGCGCGAGTGCGTAAAATCATGTATATATATATATATATATATATATATATATATGTGTGTGTGTGTGTGTGATTTTGCAGTTCCATGTATGGGGCACGTGCTCTACTCGCGCCGCCATTCGTGGCCTTGGCTGCCAATTACTGGGTCCTAGCCGGTGATTTCTCGCCGGCACCTGGTGATTGCCAGAGTATCTCCGACAGGGGAGAGACCTTACAGTGTAAAGCACTCACACAGCAAAACAGTGAAACAGCACACAGTTAACCCTTTGATCACCCCACATGTTAACTCCTTCCTTCCCAGTGTCTTTAGTACAGTGTCAGTGCTTTTTATTAGTACTGATCACTGTATTGGTGTCACTGGAGATGTCAGTGACACCAAGTCAGTTTCCCCCAGTGTCAGAATGTCCACCGCAGTCCCGCGGTCCCGCTGTAAGTCGCTGATCACCGTCATTTTTAGTAAAAAAAAATAATACATTTTAGTATACGTACCACCATTTGTAAAATCTAGAACTTTTGCATAAACCAATTAATTTACACGTATTGAGATTTGTTTAGCAAAGACATGTCGCAGAATACATTTTGACCTAAATTTATAATGAAATTTGATTATTAAATTTTTTTACTGAACATATTTAATAACAAAAAGTGAAAAATATTGTTTTTTTTCTCAAATTGTCGGTCTTTTTTTTTTTTATAGCGCACAAAATAAAAAACCCACAGGTGATCAAATACCACTGAGAGAAAACTCTGTTTGTGGGGAAAAAAGGAAGTAAATTTCATTTGGGTGCAGCATTGCATGACCACACAATTGTCAGTTAAAGTAACGCAGCACAGTATTGCAAAAAATGGCCTGGTCAGGAAGGGGGGTAAATCCTTAGGAGGACAAATGGTAAATAGAAATGATAAGCTGATTTTTTTTAACATTTCAATTTATTAGAACAGAAAATAAAAATGATATTTCCTTACACATAGTTACTACCATTAAATTAATCTAACCACTATTAGGACGCTTTCACATCAATCTTGTGTGCTCTTCCAGCAGTGCTATGTACCCATGGTTTTCATGCGGGTTAGCTGCACTTTGTCATAAACTTCCATTATGTGCTGCATTTTTTGTGCACTTTGTGAAAGCGCACCGAAAGTCCTGCATGCAGGAGTTTACTTGCACGCCCTGGTTCAGTGTGAAAGGGGCCTTGGTAAGCACAGGCATACATAACCTAAATTTTGCAAAGAGTGAAACTACTCAGAGCATCCAATAGTTGGAAGAAGCAGGGGTTAACCAATACTAGTATTCTCAGTAATTACATTTTATTAGGTAATCAGTTTACAAATGAAATTATATCTACAGTATCTATTGCAAAAATCTTTGTTTTATGAACAGAATAGGAAATAATTAAACACTCTGTCCGGTTTTGCTGGCTGTTGTCCCATTGGAGAGACTTCCCTTCATTTCCCGTATGGGAGACTGGGTACATACACAGCGGGCTGAAAGAAAAAAAAAAAACAGATTCCTGCATCCACCTAGTTTGCATCTCCACTGCCAGGACAGTGTATTCTGACAGTAGGGACTCTCCACTGTCAGAATACACTGAACAGAGCTGCAGCTAATTGGAAGATGCTGATTGAAAAAGGTTTTCCAGTGGGTCATTTGATAGAAGCCAATCTAATGATCTGCTTCTGTCAAACAGGGAGGGCTACACACAGGTTGAAATTAGGCTGGTTGCTGATGAACTGGATGAAATTTGTTCCATGTATACCCACCTTTATTTAGTTTTCACCAAAACATGAGCCCCCTTCTATTTTTGGTACAAATTAGGGATTTTTTATTTCTTTTGTCCTGTTCCATAGTGGTCATCAGGACAAAAGAGGGGGTGACCCTCCACAGCAGGGAAAAAGACAGCAATAAAAACCTGACAGGTTCTAACTCTTCTCCTCTCCATTAGATATACTGCATGTTAGATAATTTGAAGCACTTTCTTTGTTTGAACTTTTTTTTCTAATAATATAAAGGAAGCGCTTAAATATTTGGTAGGTACTTCTCAATAACATCAAAGAATGGTTCAGATATTTGATACGTTCTTCCTAATAATAGGGTGCCTTGGGTTTCTCAGTCTCCACAGTATGCATAAGAACAAGTTCTCCAGTTGGCTGGGTAGCATGCTTCCCATTGTAATAAACCAGAATCCCCCGAACAAGAGTAGCCATGACTTTTCCGTGAAGAAGAATCCCAGATATGGTGTGAGCTGCAGAGTACAGAAGCATTATTAGAAGTCAAGGAGGTAGATTACAAGTCTGAAAATATTACAATACTGGACATTAGGCTCCTATGCTTGGCCATTGTTTTAAATGGTGCTAATCGGTGTGTTATGCATTGATACATGTCAATTTTTTTTTAATGCATCGACACATGTTATTAGACTTATGGATGACAATAGCAGCACGTGAAAATGTATGATTATTCATAATGCATGTAAAATTTAGGAAAATGTCCACAGAAAGCTGTGAATCCAGCCTAAAGATCCAATGAAGAAGGTTTTTTTTATTTCTGTATAAATAAGGTCTTTGTGCTTGAGCTGCATCAACAGAGTATAACTGGGTTTATTGCAATGGAGGGATATGTCATGAATGGTCTTTTATACAAGCATTTTGATAAACATGCTTGGTTTTGCAGGTTTATAACTCCCATAAAGCTGGCTCTGTCCAAATGTATTACCTATACTAATTTCCACTCTAGGTCCACTCGATCTTGCCAGACATCTATGTGGTTCTTTTTTTGATCTTATGTAGAAAGTCTTGAGGAAGGTTTCTACTGAAAGGAGAAGAATCAACACAAGAGACACATACTAAGGGCTCATTTACACGTGCTTAAAAATGTGGCACTGGACACGCTTTTTTAAAGCAATCTGAATGCCAATCAAAGCCACTGTGACTAAATAAAATGGTTAGCTTACAGTCCTGTTCACATGTTGTGTTTGCTTTGCTTCAAAAATTATACCCCATGTTGCTTTCATGGTGCTTCAAAGCTCTTTCAAAGCCTCCATAGAAATCTATGACAAAACTTGCTTACAGCACCGGCAGCTTTTGAGAGGCTTTTATTCAGCTTTAGCTTTGCTTTGTTTTGAAGGTATTGCAGGTATGAGATATTCCAGCATGCACTGGGAGACCAACAAGTGAACCAGAAGATGTCATCAGCAGTCACTTCCGGTTCTGGTATATTTCCTGGAAGTGTCTGGTGCAGACATCACAGCTGGTGTGCAGCATGGAGCAGCAGAAAGGTAAATGGGGTCTGGAACAGAGCGGAGCAACTAGCAGACAGCACAGATGTGCAACATGGGAATGATATAACGGAAGAAGAGCGGGGATCAGAGAGAGAGGACTGAGCAAAGGAAGAGTAGCAGAGCTGGAAGACCAGAGCAGGAGGAACTAACCATGTCACATGTAGTGCACAGCATGGAGCAATAGAGCGGGAGGTAAGTGGGGACCAGAGTGAGAAGAGGATCAGAAAAACCAAAGGATCAGCAGGGGTGGACTCACAACTCATAGGGCCCCCGGGCTATAGGGGATCATGGGGCCTCTGTGTCCTTGCCCACACTCAAAAAAGCCTATAAAAAAGTTGCCAGGGGCATTTCATGGGGCCCTCTACTGACCCCAGGCCCTCGGGCAGTGCCCGAGTGCTCGAATGGTCAGTCCGCCCCTGGTTGGGGGTTACTGCTGAGCAGGGGATCAGCAGAGCTGGGGATTACTACTGAGCAGGGGATCAACAGAATTGGGGGTTACTACTGAGTGGGGGATCAGCACAGCAGGCGGTTACTACTGAGCTGGGGATCTATTGAACGAGGGTACTAATAAGCTGGGGATCTGCTGAACTAGGGTTCCAATGCTGAACAGGAATACTAAGGAGCAGGGGATCTGCTGATTGGGGGTACTACTGAGCCGGGTTTCTACTTTAAAACAAATAGAAAATCAAGACATGCACAGGGCATCTGCCAAGCTTCATTGAAGTTTCAAAAAAGCATCACTGGAGCACCACTGAAGCATCATAGAAGCATCACTGAAGCATCACAGAGGTTTCACAGAAGCACCAAAAGCATGTCAAAAAAGCATGTTGAAGCAGCAGGTGCTTTAATGTGTGTTGAAGGTGAAGCAAGTGTAAATGAGCCCTAAATGTAAGTAATGTCCCTTGTGCTGATTTTTATATTTTATTTATAAAAACCTAGGCCTTAATTTGTATAAGAACCAAGCTGTTACATTTGCATTCCCTTTGTAATATTTCTCATTTGGTTCGTTTTTTTTTACCTTATTCTTGTGATGAATATCCTTTTCTTGCACCTAGAATAACAGCAGAAAGATAAAATGCTAAAACATACCAATAAAAGGGAATTGTACTAAATGGCATCAACACAAAGTAAATATCAACAGGGTTAAGGATTAAGGAGGGGGCGCTAAAAACAGGTGGATGAGACGCAGTTTCACCGCCTCTTGGCTGCCCTCACAAATTCTACCATTATAGCCTGACAGGGCTGTACACAAGTTGTAGCCGTGATGCTTTGCTTGGTGGCTGCAGCAACTTTAACTCAGGAGGCATCACTTGTCAAACTCACTCTTTGAGATCAATGGGGGCCACAGTTGCAGCACTGGCCCACGATGTAAAGTTACCTTTTGGCAATTTAAATTTTTTTTTAAAAAACAGGCATCAAAAGGCAGCAGTAGCACTTCTGAACGCTTTTTGGTGCTACTATACAGCTCCACCACTGTTCACTTTTCAAAGGGCGGTAGGCTTACCATAGTGGTTCTTCAGATTGGCGGCCGGGGGGCAGTAAAAACAGGCAGCTGATCCATGGTTTTATTGCCCCCTGTTGCCCACCCAAACTGCCTCAATACAGCCAGGCAGGGCT